ATATATTATATAAAATATTATATATTATATAAAATATTATATATTATATAAAAAATTATATATTATATAATATTTTATATAATATATAATATTTTATAACATATAATTTTTTATATAATATATAATTTTTTATATAATATATAAAATAATATATAAATATATAACGAAAAAACCAATGCCTATTTTCGTTGGCCATTTATTGAACACTTGGCGTATGCCGAGTGTTCACTTATTATTTAGCAAATGTCCTTGATGTGTCTGACCATTTTTCATGGTCTGACTAATGAGGTCATTTGCTTTTTCAATGGAATTTTAATTATACCGTAAATCACATAGCCTAAAACCTCAAAACTGTTTACATAACCCTATAAAGGCTTGCAGTGTTCATTCAGTAGTACATTTGATCATAGGGAAAGTAAAAAATAGAAAAAAAAATTCTTCTTTAACTTTTATATAAAAAAATATATTCTTATTCAAGATTTGTTTTCAGAAAATTTGATATTTTTCAATAATCTTCCTTCTTACCGTTACCACAAATATTAAGTTATATATTCGTATATACAGGTCAGGAATTAAATTTATAATACATTTATAATGTATACACACATTCATGTTTCTCTATAAATAGTGAACTGTGGTCGCTAAATAAATCGTTCGCAAATCGTTCGATAATAAAGTAGATTGTTTCCAAAGAGGTTTACTAAAACTATTTTTAAATATTCATTGGCCATAACGAACATTGAACTCTATAAAAAAGAACCGATCTCCCAACTTAATAATAGGAATATAATCAGTTGTATTAATAATACGATGCTGGTTCGAATGGCAGCTAAAGCTGCCGTTTCTATTATTTCCTGAATGTTTGACATGTTACATCAGTGACTTGTTACCATCTACTGTACTATACTAGTCTTGGAATTTTTTTTTTTTTTTTTGGATGGGGTTTGCGATGGGTAGACATATGCAAATTTCTTTTTGATACATCATTAATCACTTAGAATCGGTCTTTCTGGCCCTGTACTAGCACATTTACAAAAAAAGCATGTGTGTGGTCAGTCTGGCAAGAAGTTTAAAACCGTCGGACACAACACAGAATGAATGACACAGGAGTACTTCCGTAAACATTACCGTACTTATTACTGTATTAAAGAAGAAATATTTTCTATAAAGAAAACCCTTTACAACATCTTACGATTGGTTTGTACTTCAAAACTTAATAAACTGACGTTGCGTTGACCTCAGTGCTCTTATTTTTAGGTACACTTTATTTTACATGCCCATTTTTCTTTCAATTTTCCCTGACATTGTCACTTTAATTATGTGTTCTGTATTATGTACAGTAGCCACTTACTAATTTTTAAATCTCTACAAAAATAATGACAATAATTATAAGGATGTATAAAATTAAATTTAACAACACAAAATAGAGGGGAAAAGGGAGTTAATTTTGATCAAGGGGCATATAAAGAAGGTATTTTTATATTTCTGTAATATATTTTTTTTTTGACGGTTTTGTTTAAATTGTTTAAATGTTTATTATACCGCAATATATTGTTATTAGTTTTATTAATGAAACACTTACTTCAATTTATTCTTTAATTATTTGTTTAGTATTTATCGTACATTTTTATTTAGAAAATAGGCCTATAGAATAGCTTGCTCTTATACACATCTAGATGTGTATAAGAGACAGTTCTTATTCAAGAATTGTTTTCAGAAAATAATACAGTATTCAAAATATGGAATAACTTGCTCATTTGGCAAGTTACAGTCTGTATTTCAGCTACTTACGGAAATCGGTATATTATAATTTGATTTACTTTTATATATTTTTAAATAAAATGAAGTACAGTATTGACAAATTCAGTTTATTTCCGATAAATATCATAAAATTTAAATTTCTGTATAGTATTTTGAATAAATTGATTCTAATTGGTAATCTCGTATTGTGCGTGTTGTTTATTTTCATTGCCTAAATTAATTCAGTTAATTCTGGTTTTCAATGTAGCATTTTTACAGTAATTTCAATTTAAAAAAAAATTATTATTAAAAGTTTTAAACCGTTTTAATGATTAACTATAAAACATCACTATTCTCTGTTCCCCTGTTGTTAATGCACAAAGCGCCACGAGTGCTACTCAGATGGAGGATACTGGCCTATATAATTTACCTTCACCCCACAGTTTAATAAACAAATAATTAAATATTTAGTTTAACACAGACGAGGCTTGCTATCTAGGAGATTGTCTTGTTTAATTTATTACCGTATTGCACATCAGACTTAACACAACTACACATGAGTACGAAAATGTTTATTTTTATTTAATAATGATATACTATTATTTTTGTTGCCAAAAGGGGTTACAACAATGACAGACCTTTTGGCCTTTACGTTGTGCTTTGTATATCATCCTGTTCTATTCTGTTTTCCATTATTGTAGTGTA